TGTAGTTTATCTATACATGAAGTGTAGTGTTAAAATTAAACATTCTCTTACCTGTTGTAGTTTATCTATACATGAAGTGTAGTGTTAAAATTAAACCTTCTCTTACCAGCTCTAGTTGAAATTTTAATGTTGTGGTTTTCAGAATCTTTCACATAGACCGAAAAGTAGAGTATTTAAAACAATTTTTTTAAAGAAATGTTAGTCAATTTTTGTATATTTTATAAAATCAGGATGTGTTGTATACATCTTGTGATACTTTAAAACCATTATTTATATATATATATATATGTGTGTGTGTGTGTGTGTGTGTGTGTATATATGTATATAAATTAAAACATTGTTTGTTAAACTGATAACAAGCCCACACACACACTTAGTCTGAGGTTTAGTATCTGTGACTAGGTTTTCTTACAAATCTGTATGTACATATTCTTTAACATTTGAAAAGGTAGCACAGTAATTTGATCATTGTCATTGTATTCATGAACTGATTAATTGTATTAAACTTACATTTAGTTATAGTTGTTAACCAAAAGGAACGATGCTTTCATAGGGTTTATTAAACTGGTAACTTGATATTATACATGTGTTCAAACTTGGCAAAAATTACACCTACCAAAAGGTTTTATTGTAGTTTCATGTTATGCACTCTATTAGAAATTCTAGTGAGCATTATCTGTAAACCTACAAAATGATTATGTTTTAACCTGTAACAGAAGGAGTTGAAAGACTTGAAAAAATGTCTCATCAAGGAAGAAGAAGCAAGAAAAGCCACAGAGAGTCAACTTCTAAATGTAAGTTATAACCTTCTCGTTTTTCATTACATAAAACACAGAATTAGACGCCTTTCAGAGTATTGGATTTGAAATTAGGGTTTATTCCACATACCCAAATTAATACAGATCACTCTTCACCTTATAGTAGAAACGAAGGTGTTGTGCCGTGTTTCCAGATGTTTATGCCATAGTGTTATTTATCACTGATTATAAACTTTATAGTATCATATAACCCATTTTTACATTAGATATCTTAATGAACCTAAGGAAATCACACTGGCCTAAGAACAGCATTGTCATTAACTAAACACTAAACAATTGTCTTTTACATCAAAATTACAGGCTCTTCTAGAAAACAAGAAGCTTCGTTTTCAGCTTGAACAACAACAGCCAAAAGGACAAACGCTTGTTGATGACTCAACATTAGACACTATAACGGAAACATTTGATAAGTTTCGCTGGTTCTTGGACTTGCTTCGACAGTTTGGGTAGGCTGGATCTCAATAGCTAAGTTTTTAAAAGCCATTTATTCATTTGTAGATAATTTAGGCAGTGCTCACAGTGTAAAAACAAGAGTGAAACTGCCCTTGGTTGATGTACAGTGAATTGATGTACAGAAGTAGCTTAAGCAGAAAGGACAACATTTTGAAACCTTTATCTTTTTGTATAGTGTGTGGGAGAATTGAGGTGAATGTAACTGGTTGTGGTTCTTGTAACACTGTTAATGGAACAAATAACTTGACCACAAACTACTGATTTCCAGGCCTAAGTTTTTAACAATGGTTTCATTGTATTGACATGTATGCTTTTCTTTTTTTACATAATTTACCTGAGTTGAGGAACCTGTAATTGTCCCAGTCAATATAACATGTTCTGCCAGGACAGAATTCTTTGTTTTCATCAGTATCAGTGTATGTATGAGTAGGTTTCCTGTATAAAGAATGTTTAATTTTAACACTACACTTCATGTATAGATACACTAAAACAGGTATGAGAATGTTTAATTTTAACACTACACTTCATGTATAGATACACTACAACAGGTAAGAGAATGTTTAATTTTAACACTACTTCCTCTACACAAAAAACGTTACAATGATTCATTTATTTTGAGAAAACCAATAAAGAAGCAAAAAGAGCTAGCTAATTATTCCTGTTAATCAAAATAAAGAATTATATTATTATGATGTCATCAAATGTGAAAATTTAAATATAAATAAATTATTTTACGAGAATAAATTCTAAGAGCTGTCTTCCTAAAATATTAGAATATGTCTTAAAACAGTTTAATTTTATCTTTTATAGATTCTTTTTAAACAAACAGATAAATATCGAAGATAATAGAAACACTACATATCCATTTCACATCTGTCATTATACAGAACACAGTAATCTATCTATTCCACATCTGTCATTATACAGAACACACTAATCTATCTATTGCACATCTGTCATTATACAGAACACACTAATCTATCTATTGCACATCTGTCATTATACACACAACACAATAATTTATCTATTCCACATTTGTCATTACACACACAACACACTAATGTATCTATTCCACATTTGTCATTACACACACAACACAATAATTTATCTATTCCACATTTGTCATTACACACACACAACACAATAATTTATCTATTCCACATTTGTCATTACACACACAACACAATAATTTATCTATTCCACATTTGTCATTACATACACAACACAATAATTTATCTATTCCACATTTGTCATTACATACATAACACAATAATTTATCTATTCCACATTTGTCATTTTATTGTGTTGTGTGTGTGTTATCTATTCCACATTTGTCATTACACACACAACACAATAATTTATCTATTCCACATTTGTCATTACACACACAACACAATAATTTATCTATTCCACATTTGTCATTACACACACAACACAATAATTTATCTATTCCACATTTGTCATTACACACACAACACAATAAGTTATCTATTCCACATTTGTCATTACACACACAACACAATAATTTATCTATTCCACATTTGTCATTACACAGAACAAATACAACTTTCCTCATCCATCAATTCCTAGGTGTTAATATTTTTACCTTCAATTCTTCAGTAGATGATGATTTCTCTGATGATGTAGATAAACAACTGGCAGCTAACTCATTTAGCCTGTTCAATATACCAAAAATAAAAACTTTGGAACATCACGTTAATACACGTATCAGAATCGTCATGCCAATCTCTTACCAACCCAGCATTAAAGGACTCAAATAACAGAGGATTTACTAACTTTCTAGTCTCTCCAGCATTAAAGGACTCACGTAACAGAGGATTTACTAACTTTCTAATCTCTCCAGTATTAAAGGACTCAAATAACAGAGGATTAACTAACTTTCTAATCTCTCCAGTATTAAAGGACTCAAATAACAGAGGATTTACTAACTTTCTAGTCTCTCCAGCATTAAAGGACTCAAATAACAGAGGATTAACTAACTTTCTAATCTCTCCAGCATTAAAGGACTCAAATAACAGAGGATTAACTAACTTTCTAATCTCTCCAACATTAAAGGACTCAAATAACAGAGGATTAACTAACTTTTTAATCTCTCTAATCTCTCCAGCATTAAAGGACTCATGTAACAGAGGATTAACTAACTTGCTGATCTCTCCAGCATTAAAGGACTCAAATAACAGAGGATTTACTAACTTTCTAATCTCTCCAGTATTAAAGGACTCAAATAACTAACTAACTTGCTAATCTCTCCAGCATTAAAGGACTCACGTAACAGAGGATTTACTAACTTTCTAATCTCTCCAGCATTAAAGGACTCAAATAACAGAGGATTAACTAACTTGCTAATCTCTCCACCACTGGTAAATAAAGTAGTAAAGCAAACATGAAACAAAATATTTTTTTTAGGTTTTTATATTTACATTTGAATAACTAAAAAAATCATACATTACTACATCAATACCATAGAATTCAAACTATAATTTATCTAGTTTAGTAGCTAAGATGTATTTTAGTCCCAAAAAATGATATTTCGAGCAGACTAAAGACACATCCTACCTCATTGAAATATTGGTTCAAAAGAAAGAAATGGCACCAAGTCTGTTAAAATGGCTAAGAAAGCCACTAGGTGGACATTCTGAGCTTCCGATTGGTTATTAATGTCAGATATAGAAGTAAGTGTATATAAGGGAGCATTTCCAAGAATGGAAAGAG